TACTTTTTTTCCCCCCAACTCCTGGCCCTTCTTTCCAAAAATAACTACGAGTGGCGGAAAAAAATAATAACTTATTGACTTTACTCGATGCACGCGCTCGATATAACGCTTTCATTTCGATTGACCCAAAGTCACTTAATATGATCGGACTGCGGATACTTTTTGGTGGTCCAATGCACCTATGGAAGTATTCACCTGATGAATCGGTGGGGTAAAAAGCTAACTTTTAAGAACTTTTTTTTATCCCTGATTCACGTATTTGTAGAAGGATGCTGCTAGATTGGAATTCTTGGTTGTTCCTAAATCATGGCGCGCTATCTAGGCTATGTTGTTTTTACAATCGACTGCGTGCAATAATGACACATAACATTCTTGCTAGGTGCAAACGAAAGTTGAAGTAAATTCATAAAAGTTACAAAATTTTCTGTGATCCGATTCTTTTGTTCGAAATAAAAAATAGGAGTAAGCATTTTGTATTTGATTTTAGCTCTGCGATCAGCGTAAGCTGAAAATTAAAAAAAAAAAAGGTTCTTATAGCCTCTAGAGTTTCACTTCAGTTTCCCCTTTCACCGATAAGTAGTTATACTCGATAATTGTTGATGACTAGTTGTAAAGTTGCTTAAAACGTATATTCCAAATAAGTTCACGATCTTCACCTATAAAGCACCGCTGGTTAGTTTTTAAGCTCAAAAAAAAAAAAAAAACCATTTCACAAAACTAACCAAGTATAGGTATACCTACTCTTAAGGTTTGACGATTTTGGCCGTGAAAGAAAGTTCCAATTTCATGCAACATTAAAGCGTCACGTACACGGCTCCCGCTAGTCCCTTACGTGCACTCCATCTCTCCTTGTGCTTGAAAATCGATAGTTTCAAATCATCTGATAATCCACAAGGTCATCCCGGCTCTTTTAATCGCCCCATCAAGGAAATACGTATCATTTAGTGCACACCTGATTTTCTATTTCCGTCAATTTTGAGGCCAGGAATGAAATTCACAACTCCCGACCTTACAGACTATATAGAGTTACACTGCATGTCGCCAGATCGTCTTACTCATTTACAGATCTCGTATTGTTGTATTGTGTTACGTCATACTCTCTTTTTCCCAGTGATTTCGCATGGACGCGCACACTAGCATATTTACTTTTGCATATTTAAAGAAAATGACAAGGGAATGTAGAAACTTGCTCAAGAGTACAACTTTTGTAAAGTCAACTAATATGGATAATCCATGTGTTCATCGAATTTGTAAGGGAACATCCACGGAATGGCCATGGATTATTCACGCAAAGGTAGAAGTAAGGCAAAAAAAAAAAAAACGAGATAATGATTGAAATCAATACATAATACGAAAATAAGCATACATGAATCGTAGGACTATATAATAACGTATACGATATCGCATCAGACAGGATCGTCGGGCATCTCCGCTTGAGTGCCCGATATAGACCATCGGAGGATCCGCTCGCCCGCCACCCCCTTTTTTCCTTCACCCTCTTCCGCCCTTCCGTCCACCCTCGCGTTTCATTCAACTTAGACTCGCCGACCCGCATACCGTGTTTGCGTACATATATGTGCCATGTGCCCTCTATAATAACTGCTGCACCGGCGAACTTGACTACAACGTCCATCCCTCTTATACTCTCCTTGTGTTTTTTTTTTTTTTATCATCGATTATACACATACCTGTAATATGTTTTAATTGTATTTTATGGTAAAATGGTTTTCTTTTTACTCAAGAACAACATATACCTACTTTTGATACGACAAGATATTAAGTCTCGTTATCCATGTACAATGATAAACGATTCTTATCTGCCAAAGAGATAAATTGCCTCCTGAAGTTCATTAAAATATATATATTATGTATAAATTACATATTGATAGGGTAATTTTTTCCATGGAGTTCGTCAGCTCGTTAATGGTCTCATCGCTTACAATTAATCTTTTCCCCAGCAGGTTCACGCTCCACCGATGCACCATAAATCTTGAGTCCTGTGTATATCTGTATTCCTTAGCCATACACGGTGCGCGCGCGATTCGTTTTAGTCAACAAAAGAGTCACTCGATTCCAAAAAAACCGAAACAGACAAACTTGCACGTGTATAATTATATACTGTATAGGGGGGATATGCGAAATGATGTTGCTACACACGCAACACATATCATACATAATATTTTCTCTCCTCCTTGGGTGTACGTGTAGGTATACACGGGGTGCAGTGGCCTGCTGCTTCGCGGAGGGGCTTTTCCAGATCGATAACCGTACACCAGCGGAGGCAGGGGTTACCGCTGCTCCTGTATACTGGTGGTGTCTTTGCCGTGGCGCCACTTGGCTCTCTCCCTCTAGCCTATATACACCAACTCCATCGGCGACGAGAGGGAGTCATCGGCCTCGGGCGCGAAGCTTCGGCGAGTCGAGCGCCGGCGCGAGCTTATACGCACACCCACGCCCGCGTATATACACACGTAAACACGCTCGTCTCCCCCTCGTCGTGGCTCCAGTCGTGCTCGATTCGCTCGGCCGGATGCGTCGACGGCCGACCTACAAAACGAGCCAGCGCTGCCTCGGCAACCCGCCCGGCGTCACCGAGGCGAAAACCTGGCAATCTGTCGCCGAAGCTCGTCCTCCCCGAGGAGGAGCCGCGCGGCCCGGTATGCTGCACCGGCGTGCGGCAGCTAAACCAAACACGCCAACGAGGAAGGCGCGCGCGCCTGCCGTGACCCACTTTTTCACTCGCTTTGGCCGCACCGAGCATCACCGTCTTACGTTTGTAGTCCGGCCGTTGTGTTGTGCGATGGAAGGATAGGATAGCCTTAGGCCTTAAAGCACGGGGGGGGGGGGAGGGACAGAAAGGACGGTAATATGATCGACAGGTGAGCCAGTCCAGGTAACGAGAGTGCATTAGGTGGGCCGCCCACGGATACACACGCCGGGTGTTGTTCCGTATACATTGGCGGCAGCGTGATAAATATCCTCCATCTATACATACCTGCGTGCCTACTTGGTTACACACCACCCGGAGCCGGATGGCTTGCAGGCGAAAGCGGAAAAAGCTTCTTGGATGGTGCCAAGTGCCTCCTCGTGTGCATGTAGTGTTATAGTGAAGAAGAAATCACGGCTGCGGTAGGTCGGTGAATTTGGGGGAAAAAAAAAAAAATAATCGACAGTGGAGGTGGAGGAGGAGGAGGTAGAGTTGACTATCTTTGGAAATGATCGGATACAACCAGCACAATTCGGGCTACAATAAGCTGTTCACTCAGGTACATAACAGCGGCGTACATACAAAAATGTTACATCCCCAGTGTAATTGTTTTCTTCTTCTTTTTTTTTTATTTTTATTTTTTTTTATTTTTCGATAGCACCAATCGACGAAAATGAACGTGAGCTCTTGTACGTGGTTAAACGGAAAATCGTGACCCGTTGGCGTTGATGTCGATAGCGTTTTATAATTTATCCGAGCTCGATCCGGCCTAACCGCCTAGGTATATATACTACACTACTTACGTGTCTGATCGCAATCGAGTGCCACTACTAGCTCTCGGGAGTGACTTTGCTCGTTATACTTTAATAAACGTGTTTGTGTGTGTGTGTGTGTGAGCGTGTGTGTGTACGTGCCAGTAATTTGGAGTAAAAGGTTCATCGCTTTTTAATCATTACGAGGCTTATACTCCAGAAGCTGTGTTCCGTCGAGCGCGACGAGAGGCAACTATTGTTGGTAACTCAGATGAAAACAAAAATAGATCATTTTTTATCAATTCGCTGGTTGTAGGTGTAGGTCAAAGGTGATTTGTTTATTTTTTATTATTATTATTATTATCATTTTTTCCACGTAAGTAACAGCTCCCAGTGAGGGGAGCGTCTATGAAGTATTTGTACGCGAGAGCTGGCGCGCCGTATTGGACATGGATGCGTGCTACGTCGTGGCAAGGCCGTCATTCTTTCGCGGAGATACGAGGCAACAACTATACACAAAACTAAACGGAGCAGCGTGTAAATATAAACGAGAGGCGGCGCCTGATTGCCCTTCCCGCTCGTTACGGGCTCTGCGTGTGTACAGCACGCGCGGATAGAGTATTTGCACTATGTGTACTCGTTGCTCTTTGAATTAACTCGAGACGCGCTCCGCAAAGAATTGTGTATACGATGAGAGAGCTGATGGTTTTTTTTTTTTTTTCCACGCAGACCTTTGTTGTTTTTTATCCAACTCTGTCCCTTGGGAGGGTCGGGGGAGGGCTCGCTGGAGCGCGATGACACTCAACACGCAGGCACGCCCTTTGAGCCTTTCAGTTTTATATATTCGCCAGTGTCTCCACGTTGTCATTGTCCTTATTGCTATTCTCACCGTGTGTGTTGTCTTTATTTCCCTCCGATCGACCTTTCTCTCTCGAGAACCTTCGAAACTTTCTTTCCTTTTTCTCTTTTTTATTTTTATTTTCATTTTTATTTTTTTTTTTCCCTCCCTCAACGAGTATACCCGTACGCCGTATACGCTGTAAAGCTCTTTTTCTTTTTGTTTGCGAAAATAATCATCTCACCACCTATACCGCTCGTCTATTTTTCGTTTTTTTTTTTTTTTTGTTTTTTTTTTCCTTACAAAGCATACCATCCCATAGGGCTCCATGTCGAGAAGTAAAAAAAATAAAAAAAGAAGGGCAATGTTACCATGTTACTAGAATTCATCTCACCGGCCTACGCGAGATGATACACGACCAATGTTGCAATGAGGGGCGAAAGAAATTTTCCAACAAGTCATCCGATCGATGGTTTACGCTTGGTTCGCTCGCACGTGGTGGTCCCCAAGGCTCGTGGTTGATTAGCATACAACCAACAAACACCTATACATTAGAAATACAACCCTACCGCGTGAACTTTCGATGCGCGTGTGGTTCACACATTTTTTTTTTTTTCTTCGTCGTATCGTCCTGCATTTATGGGCGAAGTAAAAAAGAAAGAACATCGTAAGAGTAAAACATGTGATGGTATTGTTGTTGCAGGGCTCGGCCGACTCGAACTATTCACAGCCGAGCTCGGATCTCTCGCTGGACGAAGAGAAGGAGAGCTTGCGCCGCGAGAAGGAGAAGCAGGCCCTCAATCAGCTCGACAAGGCCAGGGTAACTTGTTGTTTTTCTCTTTTTCCCTCCCCCCAAACGATCCATTATGTTTGTCCGTGCTCGCTATACGTTGTACACGTGTCCTTTCCGCCATCGAGTCTCCACGACCCGTAGGCGCCGTTCGGACGATTTTTGCGCCCTCCCCTCCCCCTTTTTTTTCCGCCCAGTATCCTTTTTTAAATTCACCCGCCGCTCCAATGAAACGCGAGTGAAAAACAGCTAGGATTTTCCCCGCGCCATCGTCCACAGCTCGGAGGAGTGTAACCGATCCGTATCGATTCCCTACGATAAATTGTTTTGCAGACGAAGCCGGTGGCGTTTGCGGTGCGAACGAATGTCAGCTACGACGGATCCATCGACGACGACTCGCCGGTCCACGGGTCAGCCATCAGCTTCGAAGTCAGGGACTTTCTCCACATCAAGGTAACGCGACGAGTCTCGGCGTGAATTTACAACGTGTATACCATGTGTATACACATAACCGCGTGATAGAGCGGGGGTTTTTGTAAGCGTTTCGTGTGTTTTCGCTCGCTGCGCCACCAACGACATCGCGGCTGATTAACGCAGGAAAAGTACGACAACAACTGGTGGATCGGGAGGCTGGTGAAGGAGGGATGCGAGGTCGGCTTCATCCCGTCGCCGATAAAGCTGGAGGCCCTGAGGGCCCAGGCGAGCGCCGCACGCGGTACCAAGGGCCTCTATTCGAGCGCACGCGGAGGGTCTTCGGGGAACCTTGGTGAGAGCGGTATGCCCTCACGAGGTTCCACACCGCCCACACCAGGTAGCCCAGAGTGGTCTGCGTCCCCTACATCCCTATACATACAACCATACATCCATACATCTCTGTGTATACGTTCGCGTCTATCGTCTGTCATACGTTTGTTGTTTTACAGTGTATATACATACATACCTATGCAGATGATAAATTATAATTTTATACACAGTGATGATGATGGTGGTGATGATGATTTTACGATTTTGTATATCCGTCACGTCGGTCGGTCGGTCTGTGTATGGGCTTGTCGTAGCGTATTGTAAATATATATTATGCGCTTGTGTGGATGGACTAGTGCACCGTGTGTGCCGCACAGCATTCGGCTATATGTACATGATGTACTGTTTTTTTTTTTTTTTTTTTTTTTTTTTTTTTTTTTTTTTTTTCGTTCCCTCTGCTGTTGTGCCGTACACCGAATGCATGCGCCATCACACGTATAATACCTATATACTTTGATGTGTTGTTATGGGCATTGTTGTTTTTTTTTCCCATATTTGCTCTTTGGACAAAGTATGTCACACATAATTATATATTGTACAACATAAGCTGAGCTTTGGATTGTGACACTTTGCGGGGGAGACACGTGTGTTGTGTGTTGGCTTACTTGAAAATGATGCCAAATCGAAAGAATAATATTAGAGATTTCACATAAAGAAATAACATCGGGTACGTGGTCAAAAATAACGAAAAAATATATGACTGAGATTTAGTCTTTTTTACGGCTTTTGAAACATCTTGTTATGAGAGAGACAAATTATTGTGGTCTCCCGAAAAGCCAATGTGACACGCTTTTTGCTCGCTTGAAAATAACGTTATAAATATTTCATGGTTCAAAGTACTATTTGTACGTATGTAATCAGTTTGTATCCCGAGGATGGTCTGTTTAAATTTACCAAATCTGGCAAAATTCAGTAAAGTGCCGTTTATTTTTGTTCCCGACCTCAAACTCAACAGTTAACATTTAGGAGCTGACTTAATTTTCTCCTCAGTCGACTTTTTTTTTATATTTATCATGCTCTTTCTAAAAAAGCTACAAATTTACACAAGCGTTTTTTCTTCGATTATTTACATTTTTCTATTGAGATTCGAGTGAAAGTGTCACTTTTGTTGTTTGGAGCTTTTTTCATAAAGAATTTAATTACTAAGTTTTCTAATGTGAATTGTTGAGTGATAAATCGAATTAAGCTCAGTTTTCAGATGTACTGAAAAATAATCTGCCGTTAAAATTTAAAAATCAACCAAAAAAGTGTTGCATCAACTTTTTGGAACGACCACAATTTTAGACGTAAAAAACATAAAATTTTACACGGGTTGTTCGTTTATTTGCTTAAATGTTTTCGCGACTAACTTTTACAAGTCCATACAATGCGAAGAACGAGCAAGGGATCGATAAAGGTCTATATACATGCCTGCTCTTTCTTATCTCTCTGTGTACTTAATTGATTGTTTTCTCAAAACATGTAATGTGTATATAGTAGATACAAAACGATAAACCTAACAACTATACACTACTGCAGTATATACATATTACAATTATTATAACTATTAATATTACTAATATGAAATATGGTACTTACTTGTTTTTGTTCCCCGTCTACTTGCTCTCTGTGAAGTAAACTCAACCTCGAACCCTCGAAGACCCTCGAGGTAGTAATTTTAATAATCGTCGATCGATTAGTTACGATCGATGGCGTGCAATTTGCTCTAATAAATTTTCAACACTACAATTCATGTAGAGCTGATGCGGATACATTATACCACATTTACGAAGTCATGATCTCACACTCACACATATCGCAGCAAATTGTGTCTTTAATTCATTGTTACTATAGTTTTTTTTTCATTATTATTATTACTATTTCTGCTGCAGTCGAGAGCCGTAATGTTTACAAATGTTGGCTTTTTCAACTTTTTTTAAGAATTTCGTTCAAGCTTATTTTTATCACATACGTTTTTCAAGAAGTCATGGGCCACCGAATGGTTACAGAAGCAAAGAGCAGTTGATTAATACATTCCTGGATAGATAACTGATGCTTGATAGTTGTGATGGAACTTTATTTTTAATTTTTGCTTTTTTTCCTAACTGCTACAATACGTATCTTTTATCTTGGTGTACATGGTTATAAATTCGCCTGATGAAAAGTTTGAATTCTCATTTTACTCTATATATAACTATTGCAAAATAGAAATAAGACGTCTCTTTTCTAACAAGTTCTCGATTTGAAATTTTTTTTTTTTTTTTTTTTTTCAGGACATTTATGCACAAACGTTTTATTTGTTTGTTCGTATATTTATCACGTTAATCTAATTAAACAACTTTCTCCCAACAATTAACATTTTCGTGAGATACAGAGCAAAACGATTGATTAATAATATTGTAAACGTTACGAATCGTACTTATGTTCACGTTAAAATTCAATGATATCATGAAAAACGTCACTTTCATCACGCATCAAAAAATACGCAATAGTTATCAAAGCAAAAGCAAATATATATATATTTTTTTTTCTCTCAAACATCACGAAAACGATCAAGTAGCCGTATAGAAAATAGTCGTACAGCCTAGCTGTGCGCTGATCAACCATACCAAAGCACGCATGCAAGTACCATCCGCCGGTTTTTTGTGCGCTTTTGGTTCCGAAAGACCATGACCAGCTGTACCAGAGAGCACAAAAAACCACACCAACGCGCAAGACCAGAGCTTTGCTTATCGCACTTGTAGCTTGTGTATCCACGTATAGTTTTTGCAAGCAACAAATAGTAACCGCGAGCCGCACGATTATACATTGCGAGGAGAGGGAGAGATAAAATATTACGGAAACGTTTGGTATTTTGCCAGGCGATGACAACGACAGCGTGGGCAACATCCGCACGGGCAGAACGACGCTCACGACTCCTCCAGCCAAGGAGAAGCGGAAGAACTTTTTCAAGAAGCCGGTAAACACTCTCGATCAACTTTTTTCATCTCTCTTTTTGACGTATTTTTTCTTTTTTTTTTTTTCCACCTTCCCAACAACTCGCAACGCCTATGTCTTTCCCTTTGCGCCGTAGAATAATGATCCCACAGGTTACGCTACAGCTGATGGTTGTAGGCCTCGATAGTGTATCGCCGATCGTTCCCTTTTTGCCAATTTGTGGTGTACTTCGTACAAGCTTTTTATCGTGCCGTTCCCTCGTAAAGTCTTATGCAATGCTGTAAAAACCACAGAAATCCAACTGCTTTTATCTCCCAATGAGTAGAATCGAGGGCAAAAGCTGGTTGTAGAGAGCATTAGATCGTTCCAGTAAGTCGCGCAGCTTCGAAGGAAGTTCGTCGGAGGGGGCCATTTTTCATTTTACCGATGCCGAGGGACTATCCTTCGTTTCCCGTAGCGCATTGGATTTCCGTAATTTTGCCGTGAAATATATACCCATAAAAATTAACTGACGAAGCCACTAACTGGTTTTCAATCTTTGTTTTCAATCAATCGACCACGCTACCGTGCTCTCGCATGCCCTGAAGTCTTACGTAAGTGAGAAGAACTGCGGCCCAACCGCAGCCACCTGATTTTTTTATTATTTCTTTCTTTTATTTATCAAAAATCGAGTGCGACCATTTATTGACGATGAAAAAAAAAAAAAAAAAAAACAAAAACCATTGCAGGAGACGGCGACACCCTACGACGTGGTCCCTTCGATGAGGCCCGTCGTGTTAGTGGGACCATCCTTAAAAGGTTACGAAGTTACTGACATGATGCAGAAGGCGCTTTTTGATTTTTTGAAACATAGATTCGAGGGCAGGTGAGTGAAACATCGGCCACAATGTATACATACACTTAAAATAAGGCGAAAGACGTTTATTTGTCCAACGTGACGTAAATTTTAGAATCATAATAACGAGGGTGATGGCGGATATATCCCTGGCCAAGAGGTCACTGCTGAACAATCCAACCAGACGGGCAATTATGGAGCGCTCGACGAGTAGGAGTAGCTGCTTGGCCGAGGTGCAGGCCGAGATCGAGAGGATCTTCGAGCTCGCCAGGACGCTTCAGGTGAGCTACGGTTCACTGGAGAAAAAAAAAATAATAATAATAATTACCAATTAAATCCATTGTAATCGTCTCAGCTGGTCGTTCTGGACTGCGACACGATAAACCACCCGTCGCAGTTGGCCAAGACGAGCCTGGCCCCGATAATCGTGTACCTGAAGATCTCCTCGCCCAAAGTTCTGCACAGGCTGATAAAGTCACGGGGTAAGTCCCAGGCCCGTCACTTGAACGTCCAAATGGTCGCGGCGGAGAAACTGTCGCAGTGCCCGTCGGAGATGTTCGACGTCGTGTTGGACGAGAACCAACTCGACGAGGCTTGCGAACACGTGAACGAGTACCTCGAGGCTTACTGGCGGGCCACCCATCCACCGACCAGTCCCGCGGTCCCCCGGCCCATGCCATCCGCCCCCGACGCACCTGTTGGCGATGGAATGCCACCGCGCGTCACCTCAGGTAAATCAACCAACGCGTACACCCCATGGTAACAACTTGTTCTCAAACAATGATTTTCAATGCTATGTCAACGACGATGGTGAATCATGAAACTCCCACGTCCTTCCTGCTGTACGATACATCCGATGGCCACCTCTCATCGCTCGCATACTCATCACCATCGTGTGTCTTTTTTTTTGTCCTCTCTCATGTGCAGCCAACCGCGACCGGGAGATTTACTACGGCAACGAGCCTAGAGGTAACAACCTTGTCAAGTCATGTACTCCTGTTTTTTCTCGCACGCTATTGATTATCTATCTATCTATCCATCTGTCGTTCTTTTCTCTTATTATCTCTATTTTTGTAACGTTAAACAGACCGTCTCTCTTTTATTTTTTTATTATTATTTTTTTTTTTTTTTCCTGTACTTATATACTTTCTCTCTTTTGCACAGACGAATACTACTTTTCTCTTTCGATTTTACGTGTATACCTATGTATAACAATTATATACTCGGCTCAATACATTTTACAATAAATCATATATAATCATAATGTACGAATTTGCACGTAAATGTTGCATGACTTGGTGTCCATTAGGCATACGTACTGCACATCGTACTTGCGCCTCATCTTTCAACTTTTGCCATGTGCCTATATATACATATACTTTATTGCTCTCTCGGCTTCGATCGCCACTGCAGCTGATTTGTAATTGTGTCTCATTAGCGGCAAAAGCAGCAGCGAACGAAACCAGCATGATAGCCTCGATCATTCGGCCATTTTCACCGCTCACCTCATAATAATACAAATCAGTACTGCGACATTGTCATTAGTATATGTATATACATATAGTTATTATTCGCTCGACGTTTCATAAACGCGCGTCAAAATCAAGACGAAGAACGAGAACACGGAGAAGAAGAGGGTCCGTGCAAATGAGAATGCTCGAGGCGACGCGTCTCAAATCATTTTTTCATGGCTATACATAGGATGAACCATTATTAGCTCATATAATGTATATAAATATATATACCTTACGTATTTCTTTTCAGCGACAATGTATGGATCAGCGCATTTGTACTCGCCGCAGTGAGAAAGCCGCGCTTCTTGTATCTACCTTCGCTTATTCCGTTAGTTCCGACAATACTCATATTCACATGTACCTTTTTTTTTTTTTTTTTACTTTACTCGATTCACGTTCATCAACATTACGTCTTTTTTTTCTTCCGTTTTCTCTTCATGTACGTACGTATACATCATTGTATCAATGTCTTTTATTTTTTACTTTACCTTTTTTTTTTTTTTTTCGCTTTTACAAGCCAATTATGTGCATCCATGTATATACATGTTGTCGTTGATCATTTTTATGTTATATTTTCATTATGTGCCCATGATATACATATTTATATATTTTTTTTTTTTTTTTGTCTCAACACGAAAGAAACTCTATATACTGCTTTGAGCACAATCTCAATCTATATGTGTGTCTATAAACTTTTTCGATTTAATTTCGTATACTTTATATCCGCACTTTTATTTATTTTAGTGTATATTTATGTATATTTATTTCTGCGATGCAAGACGTATATAATAGTAAGAGACGCGTACGTTGCGACAAATGATAATCTTTTCTCGAGACGATCCAATGAAATGAAAGAGAAAAAATTCAATTGATTCGGCGGTATAATGTGCGTGTACACACGAAAGTTTTTTCCAAGACAAATATAAGCGGATCAAGAGTTGGAACGAGTATAGGCAAACAAAACAAATCAAAACAAACGGCAAAGCCAATTTATATGATAAGCGGGCTGTGGGGAGACGAGGTCCAATTATCTGTGTGATTTCTTTTGTTGTCGTGAAACAAAAAGCCACGGAGCCACTGGCTGCCACGGGGATCATCAGAAAAGAGGGCAGGGTCACTGTGAGTCAGGAGCCCGACTTTTGAGCATCCCAACTATAACTCGACACGATTGAGATTTTCCCGCTACTCTTGGCTCCACTCTTCTCCCTCTCGTATGCCAATGACAACGGAGACGATTTTTGCGGACCAATGTGTACTTGATTGATACTGTCTTCCGCCAGTGCTTCAAGATTTTCTTTCTGTCCCGTCAACTTTTTGCTTGGCCCAAGCGTCCCACGAGACCGAAGACGGAAACAACTAATGGGTAGATGTAGAGTTTTCAGGTTTCTTATTAGGATTTTTAAGACGATTGGCTAGACCCGGTCACGTGCGCGTGTTCGTAAGTACGAGTAATAGGAACAACGATTATATATAGAAAAAGAGTTTTGTCTGATGCATGGGCCCTCCCCCCCTTTTGCAATATAATACATAGGACAAAAACATATTAGTCTTAACATATCAGTCCCTTTCCCTGTACCTGCTCCGAAGACTTTTAAACTAGCTGAAATGTAATAGTTAAAACGACAATAATAATAACAATCATTCATAGAACCGAAAAAAGAAGTTAGATCAATAATTGTATCGTCACGTGCTAGGTGGTTTTTGGGATGCTAAACACTGGGGTTGAAAAATCAATGGTCAAGTTTAATTGGAACTGTTGTGTGGAAGGCGACCCAAAAAACATCTTGTACACTAGGTGTAGTTTTTGTAAAAATCTCACTTTTTTGGTCCTATGTACCCACAACCGTAGTCCTAATATTTAGTTTCATGAAAAAAAGTGAAAAAGATTTTTTTTTTTTTTCTTATCCTCGGTCGCAAAAAAAAATGATCTGTGATTTTACCCTTCCTACGACTAAATGGCGCTTCTTGAGCGTACACGTCGTTGTTTTGGTGATTGTGTTACATTTGTTCAATTGCCGTGAGTTTTATATGGATTTTGAATTTGTCGATGCAGCCGACCCTACATGACACGTGGCCCGACATCTCCTCACATAGATCTAGACCTCACATAGAATCGAAACATTATTAACAAGTCGCAACGTCGAAATACCGATCTCGAACTTTTTTTATTTTTTTTTACTCCCCAACAAGCGTCTCTACTTTCTTTTCTTTCTTTTCTTTGTTTCTTTGGTCCAATGACGCAAAAAAAAAAATGCTTATGCCTTTTTTCATTGTTATTTTACTAGCTGAGTACATACTTGCACGGTGTGAGAGTGCCTACGTATTTGTAGTACACACGATTTTCAACGCATACATTTATCGTTTGTTAATGTAAAAATTAACCACACAACTCTATGGCTAATATTTTTTCTTTGGCTTAAAAAACACGGCATTACGTTCTGACTTGCCTAACGCATGTGATTTACTTTTTGATTTTACCGACAGCGTCGACCGATGGAATCGGCTGAATTATCCGTAAAATTCCATCTGACGACGCTCTCGTACAGAATTGTTAAAAACTCACTTCAGTCTACAATATACCCGAGCCGCACCCGAGTATACGAGACTGAAAGCTCGTGTGCGCTGGTCGTGAAAACCGATCGATCCAGGGACCAATCGATTTTCAACGACACAGAAAACAAAAGCATAATAAAAAAAGAAAAAAAGAAAAAAAAAAAGTAACTCGGTTCAACCCTGCACAACCGATGTACACGTGTGTCTGTGTGACCGTAGGAGGCGGAGGCGGCGGCCCTTACGGACACCACGGGGGCTCGAGGCGCTCGCGCCTGGAGCGCTCCGACCGTGCCGAGCACTACGCCGAGCGGGACGAGGAGGACGCTTACCCAGCCAGCGCCGGGAGCGGGGATTACGGGAGCGCGCGACGTCGCCAGCAGCAACAACAGCAGCAGCAGGACTCGCGGACTCTCGCCGCTATCTAGGAGCTGGGGCCCCGGGGCCTGTCGCTACTGCGCTGTCCCCACCTGCGCACCACCGCCCTCTAGCACACACAGCGTATTATAATCATTATAATTATCGAATATGGTACTTACATGTACTCATGTTGTACACTCGCCCCGTCACACTGACACACCGAGAGAAAGAGACGTTGGATCCATCCTCATTCTGATTTTTGTCACCCGATGTACTTACTACACCCCCTTTCGTCCCCTTTCCACGATCACGAATAAGCTCGCGCGAGTGACTCAGTGCCAACCCACCCCCCTCCCACCCCCTCCCGACCTTATTATAAATATCTTTCGTATTTGCAAAGTTGTCTCTCTCATTCAGTCTGCTATACATTTCTTTTTTTTTTTTTTTTTTTTCATTTGCGGCACGAGTGTATAAAATCATCCCGTTGAGTTACATCATCAGCCGAAAAATGAAAACGACAGCAGCATAGCACAATGGTTTTTTTTTTCCCCTACAATCACACACACACGTGAGCGGATTAATCGGATTGAAAAGGAACAAACTAGTTATTTAAAATACACGCAAGAATACAGTCGATTTGGAAAGAAAAAACTATACACGCATATATGTACACGCAAGCCCCGGGGCTTTTATATTTTTGAACTGTGTCCTCGCGGGCCCCATGAAGCGTAAATAATATTTCCTCCGTAGCAACCTAGTTTCAAGTGATTATCGGCCAAAACGGCGAACATAAACTTACAACTTTGAAAAAAACGAGAGAGAGAAAATTCACCCTTTGATTATTGATGATGATTGTGGGGCGTCGGACGAGATGATACAATGCTGTAAGCCACTTTGGTGTCCAAAGGAGGTGCAAACTGTCAGAAATGTGAACAGAAAACGAGGGTAACTGTGCGCAAGTAACGGGACTATGGAATAACGAACGAAATTATAAATATTAAGATTTTCTCGTAATTTTAGTCCTATACTCTTTCGAGAAAAGTCAAACAAACAAAGAAACAAAAAATCGCGATTACGATAAAATAATGAGCCAAAGTGTATACACGAGTCTGCTACGTTTATAAATTTTAATATAAAAAAATAATTATAGTCTACAGAATACCAATGTCACAATTCACTTTCGTGTATATAGTATATAATAATAATAATATAAATGCATATACGTACATGTGAGAATGTGAGAAGATCCAGTTATATATAACATAGACTATCCATTTAAATATAATTATATACGTATACATACATGACATAAAAATACAGAGATACCTTGTGGTGTAAAGTCGAAGATGAGAAATAGGAGAAGACGACGCATCGTGTATACATATACAAAAATTGTATGACGCATCGCGTGGTACTGTAAATACTGTAAGAAAATCACCGAGGCGGAGATAACATTTGTGCAAGACCTACACGGTCTACGATTTAGAGAGAAAAAGGTTGGAAAAGGTGGGACAAGTAATGCGTTTTTTTTTAGTTAATTTGTACCATACTCGAGACACGAATTGTTTTGCGAGCGCGTACTACTCTTCCACTGCACGAGAGTGCTCAAGCTCGAGCCAAGTCATTTTCGTAATTTTTTTTTTTTTTTTTTTTTACCCACCGTCATTGTTATTATTACCATCAATCACTTTTACGAAGCTACTCGTTGTGACCGATTGTGCAATTTTGCCGTATTAATTACAATTAATAATTGTACGATAACCAAAGAATCTAATATTTGAACAAAACAATGATCAAAGCGATATTTTTTGTGCAGAGTTTGTGCTGCGTTTTGAAGAAAAAAAACAAAAAAACAAAAAAAATCGATAAAACTTAACAAGATGTATAGGAACAAAATTATTGTATGCTAGAATGTCTAAAAAAACAATTACAATTAGTAAGTGTGTGCGTGTGGACATAAAAAACGGCGACGGCCAATCGCAGGTCGTCGCTAATATTTGAAACAATTGTCTATCTAATGTACGTCTTTCAGCGATCAAGTCTCGGCATTGGAATCCTTCGAACATTCGATGCTCTGCTCGCGATCTTCTTTAAAAATAAAACTAATCGGTAGTTTTCCCATGAAGTAACATTTTGACGATTAAATCTGAATGGATTATTCAACGTAGCGAAATGAAAAAAATAGTTGTAGATTTGAATGCCGAGTCTTGATTACCATTGTCTGAAGCTGCGGTCTCGCTCCGGGCTCAAAGTGTAACGCGGACAGTGACGAGTGTATAGATGTAAAAAGTTCAAGATGTTGATTAATTCACTGATTAAAAGAAAACCTTTTGCACCAGTTCTTGTACGTAAATCGATCATCTTTCGACGAATTTCATATTAACGATGTCTTCAAATACTATAATGGGTACATTAATTGATTATTCTACGCGTAAGAGGCTTTGAAGTTTTCGTATTCCATTTTTTCTTCGCGTCCAATTCCACAAAATCTTTTTCTAAAAAAGTAAACAAACAAACAAACAAAAAAAAATGAACAAACAAATAATATTTATCAACAAATTTTTTAAACTTATTCCTCGTTATATTTTTAAATAATTAATTCAATGCTAAGTCACAAGCCAAGTAAATATACATTTTAAGAATATTTAGTTTTGTTTAATGTATAACAACTTTATATAAATACTTACAAATATAGATACGCAAATGAGAATTCCTGCAAATTTAAATAAGTGTAACGGAGAAAGCTACAGAGTCTCTTGAATCAAGTGAATGGTGCATGTAATGTATGTTTGTACATATATATATTTCCAAGTCTTTGAAGGTTACTAAAGATTTAATCCCTCCTTGAGGGTGTAATTCATTCGTCATATGACTTTGTAATTTTATTTCGGTTACACGATAGGTATATTTTTTAGTTACGATTGTATCGATTCGCGTGAAACTTGAGTTGTTAAGATTAGTCTGTTTTCACTAGACCACCTTTTTATCTTAGCTTTGTGTTTTTTTTGGTTTTATTTGTTTGTCGCCAAGAGTGAGTGTAACAAAGAAAATATGATGCAAAATATAATGGATGCCGGTATGTTGAAAATTAAACAATTTACTGCACTGACATGTTTTTTGTAAGATTTTTGTAAGAGTCTTTGTGAGAGGTGCACGAAAAAATGGTGTCTTAACAAACATTTTCGCTCTCAGGCAAGAAAAGTGCGATCGTCGAATTTCACGAGATCGTTGTAATTAAACATTTTTTCAATTCCAATAAAGCCACCTACTTGTATAGTAATTTTGTGCCGACAATGCAAAACTTAAAAAGTAACTTTGAACGGAAATCAAGCGAAAGCAAATATGTCTTTACGTATACACGAACCCGACGTCTCGTAAAGAGTTTACAAAGAGAAATTTCAATCTTTCTTGAATCCGCTTGTTGTTAAAAAAAAAAAAAATAATAATNATTTTATATACAATTTTTTTACAATTAAAAAAAATATAGCGTATATTATAGAGCTTTCGAAAATCAGTGAAAGTACCTAATAGCAAAAAAATTAATTAAAAGATTGCATCAAGTATAGCGGCACGTAATTCTTTAGATGACGAAAGAAAAAGATAAAAACCAACTTTAGAACAACTTTTACTGCGTATTCCAAAGATTTTTAAAGTTTTTTTGTTGCACACGTTGTTGTAGAGTGATATTTTAGTTTATCATAGTGAAATCGCCTGCGAGTATGCGCAGCACGATAAAATAACTAAAAAACATCTTTACGAATTTGAAGAAAACCGTTGGCTTCGGAAAGAATATCGTTTTATTTTAATAAAAGATTAAAATTTATTGAAAAGTTAAATAATCAGTTTTATGTTTTTGAGTGAAAATCCTTTCATCGATACAACTGCGATATTCGTTGATGTGAAAAATTATACATTTATTTTTTAATTTGGCAATGTGAAATTTCAACAAGTGTGGTATATTTTATTTTCAAGAAATATATTTATTCACGTTGTACTTGCTGGAACCTATAACATTTTTCCGATTTACTTGTACGAATGTATTAAGGGAAACACTGAAAGTGTAAAGAGGAAAACCCAATTCACTTCCAATTCACCAAATTAATTAAAAAAGAAAAAAAATGAAATTCGCATGACTTGATAAAACAAAAAAACAAAGTTACAGTTCATGGTATGTAAATGAATTATCGCAACAGTAATGGGTTATAAAGCACAACTTGCCCTTTATCGCGAGATACTCGTTTTATTTTCTTCTCACGAATACGCATAAAAATTCTTTAGATTGTGCTTGATGAGCGTGTAGGGCTGAACCTCTTTGAGTTTTTGGCTGGTTCGTTGGATCAAAATATATTTTTCGCGTACTACTCGTGCTTGTAGCTTGCATGATTTGGCAAAAGCTCGCGATTAAAAATGTTTGATGTTCCGCCGGACGGATCAGTAGGTGACCAACGGTTTCGGACGCAGAGTCGACGTGCAATGTCGAGAGTCCACGTCGATTTTCGAGCTTTCTATACATACGTACATTTATTATACATACATATATATATATATTTGTAGCTATCTCACTTGTAAAAATTTAATTATGATTGCGGACATATAAATACAGTGTAACGATGAGTGAGCGTTGCATTACAATTAACGTGTGTACGGATTGACGTCAATCAGTTGAAAAAGTTGAGACGGTGACGTTATTCGGTCGATGGTTATAGAATTAATTGAAATGAACAGATGTTGCGTGCCACGTATTAAGGAGCCGATTTGCAAGTTTTGCGCAGTCGTCGATCTTTCCCAATCACTCGAATAAAATTTAATTACGCGCTATTGTTAAAAATTATGATTTGATTTTAATAACAACTGCACAGGGAACTTCTTATCACAGGCAAGGATGTCATTTTCAGATGGTAACCGAAATATCGAATTTTTTTCTAATAACTTCATTTGATTAAAAATAATTGAAACGTCCGTCACTTGTTTCTCTCGGGTAAATGTAATTTTTTCACTGACGCAGAGAGAGAGAGAGAGAGCATTTGCAGTGATTTGGATTTATCGAGGACTTGCACTCACGGTTTTGTCAGATTTAGCGTGAAAAAAGGCTCTCATCGATTTTTGGGCCGACAATAGCCAAGCCGTGCATGAATTGTGGATATTACAACCGAAGCCTTCTTCTATATATGTAAAACTATTAATTAAAGTAAGTGAGAGGAGGAAAAAAAAAAGTTTACCAGTTCTCGCACGAAAATGATAAATATTAAGCTAGCGCGAACAAAAAATATGTGCGATATTGACCTCGTCTCTGCGGAATTCCTACACTTGTCGCATTTGTAAATAAAATTTTTATCATCACATCCGCTCGAAGTTTTCTTCTGGCTTGTACCCCTCACGCAAAACACGTGATTTTACATTTTGATTCTCTTTTTTCTTCCTTTATCCTCATACGTTCAAGTAAAATTAGTTCAGGGGTGAATTAAATGAAAAATAACATTAAATCGGATGTACAACTTTTAATGTTGCCTCATTACATTTGAAATATTAAAAAATATATGTACAAAAGGTTTGTAATCGCAAATACAGGTAATATGTAAGACTTACTAATCATTCAGTCATTGCGAAAACAAATAATTTTTTTTCTTCATTTCACTCAAAGATTATTGACATTCACGACTTATCCGTTGGTGATACGTTATTTCATGCAAACATTTAAGTCTACTAATACACATATAAAATTCATATATGGATTACAGTTTCAATACAACAAGACAAATATTGGCAGTACATTTGAGTGCTGAACATGGATTTTTACGCACAGAAAAAAAAAAATATATTTAATGCTCAGGACGTCGTACCGAAAGTTATAGTTTCTCTTTGGTAGTTTGCTTTTGTTTGAAAAATATTTTACCCAAACGATTCAATGGCTAATCAAAATAACGCAAACTTGGATAGTAATACGCTGTGCATCCGTGCTTTTCGAGATTTATTACTTTTTTTTTTTTGTAACAAATAATATACAAAAATAACTTGGCTCAGAACGTTCAGAATAATTGTTCTTATTTACAACTAAAAATATCTTTGGATGACAATTTCCACAGATTTTAACACGCCTGTTAAACAAATTTGAAAAATTTTCCGTTTCACCTAGACCTAATTTTTCTGAAAGGAGGTTGAAATTTTTTAATAAACCAGTCACACACGCTAAAAAATTTTGAGCAAGTCTGCTCGCACGTGTCAATTCAACTAGGTATAAAAATGAAAAGAAAAAAAAAAGTGTTTCCTCAAAGTATAAATAATATTAAGGTCCATTCCACCCTAAATCCAATACATTTTTTTTTTTTTTTTTCTTTACACATAAACGACGAGCAGATACATACATTAAAAAATGTATCGACAACTCATATCTCAATACAACTATACCTTTGGTAATTCATTTGTAACATTGACTAAAGTAATTGTACCTAGGTAGTTGTACAGTTTTATATTCTCTTTCGACATTTGTGTTGAAGGAAACGCAAAAAGAAAAAAAAGTATTTACAATTTCTAACAAAATACGTATAATATGTATATGTAAATTTATAAAACCGATGTAGTTTAAAAAGGTAACACGAAAGTATTTCAAGGCTAATCCGATGTGCAATAAGTCGCGCGCAAGACAATACGCATATACATATTATATACCCCGAGAGATTTGCACACTAAGCCTATATACTTCAATACTGCATAACAAAGCAACGACGAAGCTAATTTTTTTTTAAATTTTGTACGATAAGAAAAAAAAAAAAAAAAACATTCAGGCCTGCCGGTCGATGCCGTGTAGAAAAGTCAGATCGTCGCTGCGCTTTACAAGCCGGAAAAGGTAAAAATCGACCACGACGCGCGTGACAGCTAGATGAAGAGGTAGTTCTCGTAGTCGTCATGGGAGTTGGTGGTCGGTGTGCTCGGCTGCAGCTGCGACGAGTGCGGCAGGACGATCTGGTCGACCTGTTGGTGGGCCAACGAGGCCAGGATGCTATGGCTGCAGGGTTGTACCTTGCCGATGTTGCTCTTTTTATTCCTCATGGCGCAACTCTGTACGTGCGCGTGGACCTGTCCGAGGTTGCAATGGTTGTTGTCGGTGTAGGTGATATCTCTGTTTTTGTTGAGCAACCGATTGTTGATGCAGTTGTGGTGGTGGTGGTGATTGTGGTGGTGGTGGTGGTGGTGGAGGTTGTGCGAGTTGTTCTGAAGCTGTAGCTTCGACATGGCCAGGGCTATGCTCGTGTCCGAAGCCCACATACTCTGCAAGTACAAAACACAAAACGATGAGAGATAAAAAAATATGGGTACGCAATGAGGATTTATTTATACAGTAAAATGTTTGTCGTCGCGCTTACCGTTCGCCTGTGAGGATTGTAATCTGGATTACGCCTGATGCGCAAGTGGCAATCGTGGCTGGTCCAGCGCTGGGTCACCTTGAGGGGCGAATCGTCGGGGTGGAGCTTTCGCTGGTACTCCTCGCTCTCGCAGACCTCGTACAGGGAGAACTGTTCGACTCGCTCGGTCGAGTTGTAGCAGCTCAGGAGCATCTGTATGAGCTCGTCCACCGACGTCTTCTCCGAGATCAGCAGGCTTTTGTACTTTGACTGCGGAGGACAATCGTAACATGTTTTTTTTTTTTCATTTTTGCCAATTTGAAACCTGATCTCACGATCGATGTGATTGCTTGGTTGTGTCAAACTTACCCCGGACATGAGAGCGCTGTCGTATATTTTGACGAGGCCACCGCGACGCATCTGCAGGGAAAATCTGCAACACGAAGATCAAAAAGTATAGACATTAGTTGGGTAGATTTTCCAATTGATCTCGACAAACAAACAAAAAGCACACACCAACAGATATACTAAATCTTCGGTATTTATTTATTGGCCAATTGGTAAAGTCATTTACGAGCATTTGACGCTCTTTTATAATCACTTAGTGCCCCTCATTCACGGCACCATAGAGACAGAGATTGGAAGTAAATGCCGCTGGTTTACAACCCCTCCCCTTATACCACACGTCCCAAATCGACGGTCAAGTGTGAGTCAGGAGATAATAATATCTCTTGTAGGGATATTCGAAAAATCGGCAAAACATATTCCTCGAGGGTGCCATGCATGAGTAGTGTCTTGTAAACACATTGGAAAGGTGTCCTAGACGGTGACAACGCGTATGTATAGGTATACAATGGAAGCACAATATAAAAATGTTTACCTCGAGTCTCCCCGGGGGTGGCAGGACTGGAGCACGGCGGGCCTCGAGTCCTCGTCGAGGGGCAAGATAGTGCGCACATTGGTCCTCCTGACCGTGACCTCCATCGTAAGATAAAACAGCCGTGGATCCCGGTGCCTCATCTTGAACTTGTTCAACAGAGTCTGGACCACCTCCCGGCAGGTCGTCTCGTAATGTATGCTCAGCGTTTTGTACTCTATGTCCGGCCGCAGGCACTTGGCGTAGATTTTTATCATCGTCTGTAAACATAAAGGGGGAAGAAAAAAAACTTGATTAGTCGTGATTGAAAAAAGTCATTTTTCATTGATGCGTTTGACCGGAAATCGCTTCAAAAATGTCACAAAAGGTATAACCCTCGAGATATTAGTTAAACGTGGAATTCATTAGAGCGCAGTATTTAACGTGGCGAGCACCGAATGCCGGGGAGAGGGGGGACCGGAAGGAGAGGCAGGAAGACGAAGAAGGAAATTTGAAGAGGAGAGGGAGAAAGACACCCTCGAGATGCATCCGCAGTCCGACAATTAGTCCGATAATTGAGGCCCGCTTGCGCGTCTGCTGCAGTTAAGTCTTCCGACATCGGAGATGAAAGGCTGCACGCGCTCTGCATGCCGGCCTCACGAGATGGGAAACACATGTTTCGGGTACTTGATTTTTTCAGACCAACTATGCTTTTTCACGGTTCTCTGGGGTACCGCGTTGCTGTGGCCTTTTTTTTTTTTTTTTACTCAAAAAGGCGAGGGCAAATAAAAAATCGAGACAGTATTTTTGTATCAACTTTATGTGATTCGTTTTACAAGGTGGCTCTTGGGCGATTAACTTGAACCATTTGATATTTTCGAGCGAAGGATTGTTAATTTTTTATTACTATGACATTTGTAAAGTTGTAGCGTAAAAAATGGTTTCTTTTCACTAGAAACAAAATTGTTACGCTTGATTCCTAGCCGAGGTTTTCGTTTTGAGGAATTGCATCAAGATGAGCAAGTAGGTGGCGATACCACTGACCATCTGGAAGTATTCGGATTCGATATTAGTTCGTAGTATGATGACATGATGCGAGTAGGATCGAGTTACGTCGTATTTACCGAAGTTATGAGTTTTGCATCCATGACGACGCATTTGAAAGAAAATTCGTTGTTGCATTGTAACAGTTGCAGTGAGAAAAGACAAAGCTGTAACAAGGTAGTTTAAGGTGTGAGGTGTGGAGAAAAAAAATAAAACCAATAGTAGTTTTTCATCATGAAAATCACCTCTGCCTTCAATTGATCGTTGTTAGTGTGGAGAATCACGTCGTGTACGATTATTCCGGTTCTCAAGGTTTCGTTTTTCGTTATTTGGCATATCCATACGACTATGGCCATTTTTATGGCGTGGTAAGTTACGGATGTTAAAAAGTAATTGTACCAAATTTGTTTGTCGATATCGATTCCTTTTTCCCCTTGGCTGTGTAGCAAAAAAAAGTACAAGCCAAACGTCATTTCGGCAAAAGTCATCAATATGGTGGCTATCACGTGCAGAGTAAATGTCGCATTTAATTCCTCCACTACCACGGATAGTTCGTGGTGTTTTTGCTGTAATTTGCGTAACTTGATCAAATCTAAATTCTTGACTGATGCCGCTTGACTTGTTATGATTTGAAGTCCACCGGTGCCTTTACCATTATTTTTATCTTTCAACGTTGATATGCTGTTGTTGACGTTTTCAAAGCAACTTTTCAAAATGAGAATGAAAGTGCCGACTTGGAAGTCCACGATGAAAACAATCATGGTAATGTACAGCGCAAACACCTTTGACATCAGCACTTCTTTCGTTTCTTCTCCGTACAAACTCGATGTTTGCACCATTAAAAAAATGTACCCAACAACATTTTTCGTGTAAATAATTACAGCCAATTTGCTGAGTTCCCCTACAGACAAGATGGTCGACAAGTCTAGTAATTTATTCAGCAGAGAGAGCTTTTGGCGAGTGTAAGCACAGGCGAATACGATGATTAAATTGGCTTGTATGAAGTAACAATTGAATTGCAAAATTCCCACGAAAGTGTCGAATTCGATGTCTTTGGAGATGTTAACTTGATAGAGTGCGATGATCAAGAAAAATATACAAACGCCCGTGGAAACTAAAGAATGGCACAATCCGGCTCGGGACAAACGAAAATGCTGTCCATCGTACGAATACGGGTGCAACCCGTAACATTTGTACAAAACTATGCACGGCTTCAGCAGCTTGTAAGTGCTTGTTAGTTGGAATAAATTGTACTTTTTATAAAAATTATACTCGAGCTTCATCTCGAACTCTTTGTGCGTTCGCGAAACGCGTGGTCATCGCTTCTACGGAGTAACTGTGAATTTTTCACACCGAATATTTCAATTGATCAAACTGATGGTGTTTCTTTTTTCCATCTTCAATCCAATTATTTAAATGTCATCCGCGTGCTATTATTTTTCACGCAAAGTGAAATGGACTTTTATTAAAAGGTGAAGGCCAGTCAGTTTCAATTTTAATTCGAATCAAACTAAGTGCAGAGAAAAAAGCCATAGATACGTCTGTACGATGTAAATGTAATTGAAAAAAACTAGGAAAAAAAAAAAAAACAAAAAAACTTAAACTAAAGAAAATCAATAAATACTCTTGAAAAAAGTCTAATGAAATAAGTATTTCATCGATCACCATTTCCTTCGATTTCGTGTATTACACAATTATCCCCAAACGGAAAAAGAAAAGCACGTTTAACTCGACACAATAGGAACTCTCTGTACGCGCTAGACGAAACTACCATACCTTACATGTGACACTTGAAAAAATTTCGTACGTGCCGGGAAAGCTAATTGCCAAGGGGTAAGCATTGTGCTTCTCGCCCCGCAGAGTCGTAAAATACATCGCGCCGGTGCGTTCATATACCCGCGCATGTAAGCCCTTGGAAAGATCGTGACGCACGTCCAGCGAGCAATTGAATATTCAAAAGGCCCTCTTTTCTCGAAGGCAAAGCTCTATGGTAAAATGCACGTAAGCAAAGCCTTTGATGATTCTCTTGTTTTCTCATTTTAGCCGAGAGAAGGAGCTCAATGCTCTCGAAATACCCCCTATACGCAAACAACACCTGCGCGTACATAAAGTTGGAAAATGTAATAACACGCGCTCCAACAAATCGGCGCGTGAGTCACGTATGTACCATAGTTTGGATATAGGAGAGCTCGAATCGAGTTGCTTTACTGATTCATCGAAAAATACCGATGCAATTATACACTACCTATTAGCCGGAAAAACCGAAGGCACACCTGACATATATATGTATACGCTTACTCACCCCAGAGATCGGCAAACAAACAAACTCGGCTCTTATGCATTATTTATTACAATGTGTCTCTCTCTCTTCGACGTGTAATTTTTAAACAAAATCCGTGATGCTCGCCACAATAGATATAGATACAGTGTTGAACAAAAACAGGGTAGTGTATAAATAATAATTGCCATTTCCGTGGAGAATAGGGAGAGTTGCGTCGCGGACCGAAAAAACGAGAGAAACAACAAAGCGCAGTTCCTCAAAACCAATGCAAAATAGAGCGGGGGCGAGGTGTATAATGTATATATAAGTGCGTATCCGGTGCCGATCTCCTTCTGCAAGAGCGTGACGGTGAAAAAAAAAGGGCACGTTAGGGAGCCCCTCCGACGGCACTTCCCGTCTTTACGGGCCCGGTGTGACGGGGGCGTTCCTCGAGAAATCCCCCAAAGTGGCATTACGTCGAAAAATCACGGGTCCCTCTAATGCGCCGAGCTAAAAACCACAGGAATTTTTATACATGGGTATATACATATATAAGATTTTCGGCACGCGCCGTCTTCCCCGCAATGGCTTCTCTCCCGTACTTTTTTTTTCTACGGGAGGAAGAGGCCATTCAAAGAGTCACCAGATGCTCGATACCATCGGTCTTCCTCCTCCTTTTTTGTAGCCTTCAAAAACTTGACTCTCCGTTTAATTGCAATACCGTAGGATTTCTTTGCCAGCAACATTATCCAGGTTGTTGGTAAAAACGCAAAGTAAGACGAGACAAAATAAATGTGTAAATAAAAAAAAAAAAAAAAAAAAGTCGTCCGTTCGCCGAGCGACCTCGCGCTTCCTGCCCGTATGGGTTGTTATCTCTCCTCCCGCGGGTAACGGGGCCCGCTGTCGCGGATATTGTAGCTGCCAGTAGTGCGGCACCTTAATCCGGAAGCGCGACGCAACACACACACGAGAGGGAGATTAGAACTCGAACACGAGCCTGATGTGCTACATACTGTTGTTGTTATGTGTATATAATAGTGTTGTGCCTACATTTCAAGTGTATATATATATGTAGGTGCCATTATAATAGTGCACAGTCACGAAACCCAAGAGCCCGTCCTGTATATATACATGCAGCCCCATGGGCTCATCAATCCAAAAGTCATATCCGTCCACGGTGCAGCAGCTCCTTATCTCACTGGTGTGGCAGCTGAACGCACGCAAACAATTTATTTCGACTCGTAGGTATATATGTATATTAAAATGGTAAAAAAAAGTCCAGCTGATTTGTCCGTAATGACGACTCCGCTACAGCTGCGCGGACAAATGAGCGATTTTTCCTTTTTTTTGTTTTCTTCGTGATTAGCGTGATTATTTTATTGTTTTTATACACGCATCATACAGCTTTCTCCTTGTATTTTCGGTCTCATTGAGTTCAACCTGGACGAATGGAATTACAGACCACAGCGAGGGAAGATGGTTTTTTTTTTTTTTTTTTTTTTTTTTTTTTTTTACGTTCGTTTGTTTGTTCTCGCTCGCGACAAAGAGGGAAAGGTGATGGAAAGGCGAGTCATCATCGCACCTTTGCTCATTAAAACTCTCTCGGGTCCCACAATAATATGTCATCGTGTTTACGACGCGTTATTTTATTAACTCTACTCCCCTACCACAATACACACGTGGATGATACGCCTAAGCGACTCTCTTTAAACTCGTCTCCTCGCGCGAGGAGGAGAAAGCGCCCATTGGGCTCGGATTGAAGTGCTACTCGTCCGAATGAACTTGATCGACGTGTAAATCGTATTCGTCAAAAGGCGCCTGCCGGAGAAACCCAAATGTGCCGTGTATACGATAAACACCCTGTGATGTTCATATATTAATATTACGATGAAAACAAAGAGATACGATATATATATACATATACGTATAAAGCTAAAACCTAAAATAATCCGCGCAAGCCAACGCGTCCCCGCATCA